CCACTGCCCCCAAGATCGTGGGTCAGACCTATCACTGATGATAAATGCGGCTAACCTTTCCTTATACAGAGGTCAGTATCGTTCACTTCCCCAAGGCTGTGATACTGCTCGTGGCCAGTTCATCGCCTTTGCGGTGCTTTATATCTTATCCGAATTCGTTTCACACCTTATTACAAAACGTCGGCCCATCCTTGCTATGCCCTAGGGCCGGCGTTGGGTGGCCTCGGCCTGACCAGTCGAGAGTGAAGGTGTCACGAAGAGCGCCCTAGAGTCGCAGGAAAATGGTTTCAGGGCATACAGGGCGGCACCTTAGGTGGCAACGAGGGCGGGACTGAGATTTGTGACATCCCTACCATTTTGGAGAAAGTCTCCTCCAGTCGCTTACCGTTCGCCATTAGCCTCTCGTTTTGCTCGATTTCTACAATAACTTACCGCCACCTTGGGTGATTTCAGAGAACCGGTGAAATGCAGATGAACAATTCATCGAACAGTCGCAAGCGTCCACTTGCAGACGCTACATTGGAGATGAACACTCCCAAGAGGGAGTATTACCAACCGTTCCATCCATATCCTTATATGAATATGGTCAGTACATCGCTTTTGAGGCTAATTCGCTGCAAAAGACTGATTTCCTGCTCTTTCAGATGACCCCTCCGCCGATGTTCCAGTCGCCTCCGTTTTGATTCTGTAGCGATGAGAATCCAACGATTTTCGCCTTGGGTTTTTTGGTTTTTTATGACAGGGGTAACGACAAGTTTCCCCACCCGTTCATGGCATGGCGAATTCTGCAGCCAGTCGGATCTGTTCTTAACGAAGTATAACTTAATTTTTCATGACGAGTGGAATTGCAAGGAACGCAGGGTTAAGCCGGGGTTTTTCCCCCCTTGGTGTAGCTGCCAGCCAAGTGTGCTCCAGGGAATGATTCATTTTTTGGGAGAAAATTACCTTTTGGTCTAGCAATGGAGTTTGTACTACTACTGACAGTATAAGGGGCTTTCCGTTTTTCACCAGCTCTCCTCCGTCCTTTGCTTCCGTTGAGTAAGGTATTATTAAGTCGTGGGCCCTTCACGTCTTTTAACCAACTCTTCTACTTTAAAAGGGAATTCCTCTTACCTTGCACTCAGCTGACTGGAAACGTTGGAAGCTTCAAGTTTTCCTTATGGTCCCTATAATTCATTATAGGAGTAGGATAATAACTTGAGTGCCTTTCAGACTCCCACCTAAGGTTTTTGCCAAGTAATTGAAATCCGGAAAGGGGGAGACGTTGCTGGATTTGGCACCAAACCAGGTCCATGGCGGCCTCTGACCCATTGAGGCTGCCCCGTTCGACCCCCGTTTACTGTGGTTCATCCTTCTACGTCGCTGTCCCCTGAGAGGCCAACGATCTGAAGCCCGTTTTAGGCAGAGTTCCTGACCAAAAATAAAGTTCCATTATTTTGAATGTTTTTATTTGTTCTGCTACTTCCCTTTGGTCAAAATAGGGTCCAATTCCACAATTTTTTACCTTTCTTCCTGTTCCATTGACATATTTGAAGATCATAGTAGAGAAAGAATTTCAGATGCAGATGCACATGAATGCACCGTACACTCCGTTCAGTTGTTCACCAATGAACTCTTCGGTTTTGTCTTCTACGTCCAGCAATGATTCCGGAATTAGTGAGTGACCGTATTTTGTTGAATGATTTACAGTAAGCGAATCACGAGTACTCCAACCCAACAAGAACGAAAGAAAACAGGGGTTCAGCGTTAATCACCCTCCTTGGGAATGCGCCAGGCATTCAACTCCTATTCAGATTGGAGTGGCACTGAGAACGCAATCTAACATATACAGCAACTTGCGAGATGAGCCACACAAATCAGCCCACCCCATTGTTTGACTGGCCGAGATGCGGTAAAAAAAAGTTGCGTAGTTCGCTGAGGAGCTCTTCTTACATCGGAAATACAGGGTGCTACTAAATATTGGCGCATGGTTTATTGATCATATTTACAAAAAGAGAAACTATCATATCTTCAGAAGTTTATTTTCATATACAATAAAACATGAAAATTCATTACCAAAGAAAGTGCTCGAGATGGCCTCCTTTGGTAGCGATACAGGCTTGAAGTCTCTTTTCAACTGACATCACCGTGGGCCGCAAGTAGCTGACGTCGGCGTGACGTGAGTAGATCTTCAGACCAGAAGTGGCGCACGATTTGCAAAACGACAGGCAGTTGTTGGATCTGGCTAGCAGACATTCTGCTCGACCTTGTGTACACACAAGGAACCGTTTTTCAAATTTGTCATGGTTTGGGCAGGAATTACTTCTGAAACCATGACACCGCTTGTCTTTGTGGATGAATACATCAAAGCCAGCGCCCAGATCTACCCGGAAACAATTTTCACGTAATGCCTTCTTCCAAGGACTCTTTTGACCTTCAGCGAACGTCATTGCATTCTTCAGCAAGACAGGGCGCCTCCACATGCCGCAAAATCAATGTTGGAGAACTGTGACCGTCATTTTCCAAGTTACCGGACACAAAATGTTTGGCCATCTAAGTCGCCCGATTTGAACCAATTGATTTGGCGGTGTGGGGCTTCTTGAAGCAGAAGATGCCTTCTGAGCAACGTCGAAGTTTGGACTCCCTGAAGGCTTCCTTGGAGGAGGCGTGGAAGGAGCTTGACGTCAGCTACTTGCGGCCCACAGTGATGTCAGTTGAGAAGAGACTTGAAGCCTGTATCGCTACCAAAGGAAGGCCATCTCGAGCACTTTCTTCAGCAATGTACTGCCATGTTATAAGGTATATAAAGATAAACCTCTGAAGATGTAAAAGCTTCTCGTTTTAAAAATATGGTCAACAATCCATGCGCCAATATTTAGTAGCCACCCTGTATTCGCCTCCGTTTTCGATTCGTGGCGATGAGAATCACCAGCCTCCACCGTTCATGGCTGGAGAGTTCTGCCAGCCAGTCGGATCTGTTCTTAACGAGGTATAACTTTATTTTTCATGACGAGTGGAATTGCAAGGAACGCAGGGTTAAGCCGGGGTTTTTCCACCCTTGGTGTAGCTGCCAGCCAAGTGTGCTCCAGGGAATGATTCATTTTTGGGAGAAAATTACCTTTTTGGTCTACAATGGAGTTTGGTAGGTACTGACTGAAGTTAAGGGCCTTTACGTTTTTCACCAGCTCTCTATCTTTGCTTTAGTTGGGTAAGGTATTATTGAAAGTCGTGGGCCTTCACGTCTTTTAACCAACTCTTCTACTTTAGAAGGGAATTCCTCTTTACCTTGCATCAGCTGACTGGAAACGTTGGAAGCTTCAAGTTTTCCTTATGGTCCCTATAATTCATTATAGGAGTAGGATAATAACTTGAGTGCCTTCAGACTCCCACCTAAGGTTTTTGCCAAGTAATTGAAATCCGGAAAGGGGGAGACGTTGCTGGATTTGGCACCAAACCAGGTCCATGGCGGCCTCTGACCCATTGAGCTGCCCCCGTTCGACCAGTTTACTTGGTTCACTCCTTTCTACGTCGCTGTCCCCTGTAAGCCAACGATTGAAAGCCCGTTTTAGGCAGAGTTCCTGACCAAAAATAAAGTTCCATTATTTTGAATGTTTTTATTTGTTCTGCTACTTCCCTTTGGTCAAAATAGGGTCCAATTCCACAACTTTTGACCTTTCTGATTCCATTGACACATTTGAAGATCATAGTAGAGAAAGAATTTCAGATGCAGATGCACATGAATGCACCGTACACTCCGTTCAGCTGCTCACCAATGAACTCTTCAGTTTTGTCTTCCTACGTCCAGCAATGATTCCGGAATTAGTGAGTGACCGTATTTTGTTGAATGATTTACAGTAAGCGAATCACGAGTACTCCAAACAAGAACGAAAGAAACAGGGGTTCGGCGTTAATCACCCTCCTTGGGAATGCGCCAGGCATTCAACTCCTATTCAGATTGGAGTGGCACTGAGAACGCAATCTAACATATACAGCAACTTGCGAGATGAGCCACACAAATCAGCCCACCCCATTGTTTGACTGGCCGAGATGCGGTAAAAAAAAGTTGCGTAGTTCGCTGAGGAGCTCTTCTTACATCGGAAATACAGGGTGGCTACTAAATATTGGCGCATGGTTTATTGATCATATTTCCAAAAAGAGAAGCTATCATATCTTCAGAAGTTTATTTTCATATACAATAAAACATGAAAATTCATTACCAAAGAAAGTGCTCGAGATGGCCTCCTTTGGTAGCGATACAGGCTTGAAGTCTCTTTTCAACTGACATCACCGTGGGCCGCAAGTAGCTGACGTCGGCGTGACGTGAGTAGATCTTCAGACCAGAAGTGGCGCACGATTTGCAAAACGACAGGCAGTTGTTGGATCTGGCTAGCAGACATTCTGCTCGACCTTGTGTACACACAAGGAACCGTTTTTCAAATTTGTCATGGTTTGGGCAGGAATTACTTCTGAAACCATGACACCGCTTGTCTTTGTGGATGAATACATCAAAGCCAGCGCCCAGATCTACCCGGAAACAATTTTCACGTAATGCCCTTCTTCCAAGGACTCTTTTGACCTTCAGCGAACGTCATTGCATTCTTCAGCAAGACAGGGCGCCTCCACATGCCGCAAAATCAATGTTGGAGAACTGTGACCGTCATTTTCCAAGTTACCGGGCACAAAATGTTTGGCCATCTAAGTCGCCCGATTTGAACCAATTGATTTGGCGGTGTGGGGCTTTTGAAGCAGAAGATGCCTTCTGAGCAACGTCGAAGTTTGGACTCCCTGAAGGCTTCCTTGGAGGAGGCGTGGAAGGAGCTTGACGTCAGCTACTTGCGGCCCACAGTGATGTCAGTTGAGAAGAGATTTGAAGCCTGTATCGCCAAAGAAGGCCATTTCGAGCACTTTCTTCAGCAATGTACTGCCATGTTATAAGTATATATAAAGGTAAACCTCTGAAGATGTAAAAGCTTCTCGTTTTAAAAATATGGTCAACAATCCATGCGCCAATATTTAGTAGCCACCCTGTATTTTGGGTTACACGGCAGTCAAAGCTCCAAAAGTCATGCTCCAAAAGCGCATTTAATAGTGTATGTGTGAGAGCTCGTGAACAACAGTAGAGAGCGCTGAACTCCCTATATGTTGGCAGAAATCTGGAGACCGATTAGATGAAGTTCTGAGATCTATTCATCGGTGTGTAGAATTCTGACCGGTATAGGTATAGCTTACAAAGCTATTCTATAGTAATTTCGGGTGTTGTTTCTTTTAAGAAATTCGGCTTCAGGTGGTAGCACTGGATCGTCGAGTTGTGAGAGTACGCCATCGACTTCGACAGAAACGAAATCAATCAAAAGGGACGATGAAGTGCTATTCCAAGTACCCAGTCGGCTGAACCACATCAGCAAGAATAAAGTGAGCTCTTCTCCCAATTTTTTCCGAAACTTCGAGAGTGATTAAAGCCTAAAATTCGTCAGCACAGTGGCAGACGGGTCGGGCCGTCTACCCCTCCCTCTTTATTGCCAGTCATGTGAACCATGTAGAACCATCAAGCTTGACATTTTCCACCCCTTGACCCTGCCACCATCAAGCTGACTCTTCCGTTTGTTAAATGTACTGCTTTTTCTGCAGTAATTCCCTAAATTGAACTTGCCCTTCAAAGGGTCAAGCGCAAATGTTTCCCATGCTTTTTGGCAAACCCCAGACGGTCTTTAAAATTGTTTACATGATTTGGAGTGGGAGTCGGAAGGTTAAGTTCATTAAAAGCCTCTTAGGAAAGCAGCAGAGAACTAACTTAGTGTTTTGTTTCGGCCATTGAGAAGGACAACCAAATCGGGCACTCAAAAACGCGCAGTTGGTTAACTGAGCGATTAACCAGGGGAAATTGTAGAAAAAAAAAAAATAATACAAATTCTCATATCCTCCTCAGAATCCCTTCCCCTCCCTAGGGCTTAGTGGCAAGCTCTGCAGTTGGCTCGCTCCCTTCAATGTACCCCTAATGAAAGAGCGCTGTTGTTTTGAATGAATTGTGGAGAGAAGTTATAAAAGGACGACTAAATGGATATGCCCGAATGTTCAAGGATGGGTGAGAATGGGGTCAGAGTAGAAAACTAGAGTTGTTGAGGATGTTATGATTGGATTCTCGGAGGCGCATTAGAGCAAAATTCCACCTAACCTGAGACTGTGTGAGAGCTCACGGAAGTGGGCGGTCCATGGGGGTCATTTGAGAGAACTTGAACAGCTTAGGAGGATCTAACATTCGAAGACAGAGCCGTTAGAGATAAAATTCGGTGGTCTTCTGGCACTTGAGCGAAAACCCGAATCCTCATTCCTTATTAGGTTTTCATGGGCAAAAAATCAAGATCAGGAGTAGGCCAGCGAACTTGCGATTCCAAAACATCAAAATTCACACGTCTTGAAATCCCTTTTTGATTTATAAGGTAGTGAAATTCGCTGGGTGATAGCATTGCTTTAGAAATATTCGCCCATTTCAGGTCACCCTGGCCGAGCTGAAACGTCGCATCGCCGCCCCGGAATGCCTCAACAGCAGTTTCCTTGGGATCTACCTCAGACTGTCCGCTAGCTTTATTTTTCGTTCTTTTTTATATTTTCTAATAGTTTTCAGGTTTAAGCATGCCAAGCGAGGTGTCACGGACTTCACTTCGATTTTATATATAAATTTTATGACCAGGAAATTTTTGTATCTATTTTGAAAGTTTTCTTTTCAGGGCTAAGACGAAAGAGGTTGGAAAGGAGCTGAGAGACAACCTAGCTAAGCATGGAATATCGCTGCCGTCAGGAAGAAGGAAAGGCATTCAGAACACCGTGTTCACCTGCTTGGTTGAAGGTACAGCCGTTTTCCTTCGTTAATGCGACTGCTGCCAAATTGCTCCTGCGATATTTTCGTTCCCCATAGCCAGAATTGGTAAAGCTAGGCAGGATTGCAGGAGGAACTTCAAGTACCTCAAAATGTCTCAATGATTTATTCTAGAATGGGGTGTTGTAACCCTGCAAGTCAGAGTCGTGGGTCAGAACATTTTGCATGGACATGTCCTTTTTCTCAGTAAGGTGGTGAAAATCCACTAGTAAGCTACCCACCATCAGTAGGTAAGCGCGACGAGCATCGCAACCCACTAAGCTTTATGGTCTGAGCATTTGCGTGTGTCTTTCGCTTTCAAGAATTTTGGAGAAGTGATGGAAAGTCTGATGGCTGTATTTTCAGAGGAAGCCACACAACTCGGACGCGATATGCACACACTCGTCCAGCAGCACTACCCTGTTCGACCCCTTATCGACATGGCAGCACGAAAATCGGTCAGCCATCCGGAAGAGAGGCGGCGAGATCTCATCGGAGCGATGTGAGTTCTTTCATTTCAGCTTCAGATCACACTGCACTGAGTTCAGCAGAACTCGAAGTCTTCAAAGGAGAAGGTGCCAAGAAATTTGGTTCCAATATAAAGATACCATCTTTCTAACTTCTATATTTTACTTCAAGCAAGCTTATCAATAACATATATTAATATTTAAAACGACCGGCAAAACAAATTGAGTTTTCAGACGAATTTTGGACGAGTTGAATGGAATGTTCACGGAACTGCAAACGCCGTTGGCGACACGGATACAAAACAATGTACCCATACATAATGAACTTGAAGTCGGGATGAACCACTTCAGTCTGGTTAGTTTCTAATTGCCTTCATAATAGACGCCCTCGGAACTCAGAATGGCGATTCGATATTACCCTTGTCAAGTGGCCGCGTACAGTCCACATGGCCCATAGGATTAGCATATTCAAACTCAAAGAAAATAAGGTCTAGCCCTTAGTCTAGACAGAATAAGGGTTCAATTAGGAACCACCTGGGGTGGTTATGCCAGAATGCTGTGCGCCCGCTGCGTAGATGACCGCACCAGCACAATAATCGAGCCTTTTCTCACGTAGTGAATTTGGCTGGTCGAGCGGTAGCCCATAGATGTGCATGGCTGAAAATGCTGCGGCTCCGCCAGAGGTTCAGGAGGCCAGTGAAAGAGGTAGCGGACGACGTCGTTCTCTGCAGGTAACGCCGCTTGCACATTGGCAGCATAGCAGCTTTGTAAGATTTTAGACGATTTCGGGCAGGACAGACGTCCTTGCTCCAAAAGGTGTGGTGATTTTGTGAGATTGGGTTCGAGTGCCTCCAGCGCTTCTCGCTAGACTTTTTTTTTGGAGTTGAGGGCGGAGCTGGAAATTCTTATGTAGAGCCAAGTTCAGCCAAGGATGGAATACGCCACGGTTAACCCTGTCCAGATCTTTGACTTGATTTTCTTCCTAATGGTATCTCTTTTCAGATCACGCACACATTTGGACCGATAAACCAGTCCACGTGGTGTAATGCATTTCTTAACTATGCTAAAATGTCACTAGCAATGTATCAAGGCCGAGGGATGGAACAGGCCAATCCACAGGTTAGTCCAACCAGCCTTGTTCATACATTATCGGTAGTTTGAGGCGGTTTAACCTTAAAGGAATCTTCCACGGACCATGGACCAGTGGGCGGGACCGGAAGTTTTTGTGACGAAATGCATGGTAGGTACGGATCCACGTGTCGAACGCACGAACGTGAACAGGATTCACTTCAAACCTTCCCATGAACGTGGATCCGTACCTACCATGCATTTCGTCGCAAAACCACTTCCGGTCCCGCCCACTGGTCCATGGTCCGTGGAAGATTCCTTTAAGTTTTGAAGTTTTCTGACCTTTCTCAATTTTACCTAAATCCAGAAATTACAGCTTCAATAGCAATCTTTTGATTATATGACGGTGATTTGAGCCTATCCGCAAAAGGTACGGAGGCATTTGTGGTGGCAGTATTCGAGACCGCGCAAAACATTTCCTTTTTATTAAAAACGGTACTTAGCCTTGAGCAGGGGAGGAGAGACTCGAGGGTGCGGAGCGATATTCATTTTCCCGATGTTCTTGCCATGGCTTGGTCTCAGAGGACCCCCTTCCCGTATACTGCGATAGCTTCCAATGTTTCATTAACAAGGAATCTGATTTAAAGTAGAATAATATTAGAATAATAAATAGAAAGTGGGAATAGCAGAATAATGTCAAATACAATTTACATGTTTGTGATTTCAGTTACAAACTAATGCTGGAACTCTTCCGCGGAAACTCATTAGATCGCACGAACCTCCTGTATTTCGAGATTGGATTGCACTATCAATATTGTTGAGTATTGTGTTTTTATAGGAATTTTGTATTGTTATGGATTTTTATAGCCAATCAAAGCCAATTTGTGATTCTTCTTGAAGCAATGCCTTATCACTTGTTTCTATTTTTAGCTGCTGAAGAGCAGTGTTTTAGTAGTTTAATAATTTCTATTTTGTCTGTACTGTAAATATATTTTTTACCATACTAATAAGACTAATATTTGTGCTTGATCGCCAAATTCTATTTCACTTTCTATAGAATAACCTAAATATGTCGAATAAAACGAAAAATTTTGAATGTCAAGCGAAAATAATCAGAGATGAAGTTGAAAGTTCGAAGGGAAATTCTAATACTCGTCGTTAGAGAATCATAAAAATGGGGAAGTTAAGCGTGCTGAAAATTCCGTCGATTCTGAAGAGATGAAATGCGTGCTTTCTAATCATATTGAGATGAATGAAGGTATTCGCGTTATTACTCTTTAACTGCCTCTCCTCAAGAAATGAGGCGGGTATTGCTCGAAATTAGCCTATTACTTGGGGGTTTAGGTTCTAGTAAGTTGTCTCTGGAGACATTTTCGAATTTCTACACATACCGATAGAATGTCGCATTTAGCGCGAAGCGCCTAGCACCCGTGCCACAGGTGCTGCCGCTATCAGATTAGCCTTGCCTGGCTCGCAGCTGATGTGGTGTTCCATGTTCTGGGTCCACCAAAAAAAGTTCTTCTGACGCGTGCTTTGCAGCCGCACTGAATAATACAGATAAGAAGGCCATGAAGGAAGTAAAGGGAATAGAAATAGCCAGAAATACTGAAAGTAAGAGTCTTATACTGGGCGGCCGGCGGGTCTACGAGGGAGACGTTCAGTTCTCCTCCTGGGTCAGGTCACCAGAGCTGCGCGATCATTGAAGCCTAAGGTTAAGCTTGGGTTTGGCTTAGGCTTAGGCTTATGCTTACATTGGCTTATGCTTAAGCCTATGATTGGGCCTAGGCTTAGTCCTAAGCTTGCTTCGAGCAAATGAGTGGTGTCTCAATTTTAGGTGACCTGACCTGAGGAGGAGAACTGCAACGCACCCGTCGACGAGTTGGAGAGTTTATCAATACGAGAAGCTGAGAGCAGTGGCGACAAGATGAAAAAGATGAAATGGAGATGAGAATGAAGATGAAAAAGCGTAGGAAGGAGCGCCACGCTGACACCAACGCATTCGCTACCGTAGGCGGTAGAGGGAGTTGGTGGAGCTGTGAACCATGACTTGAAACTCTTTGCAGTAGCACTTTAGTGTAGCAGTGCAAGTAACTCTACCCTACTGTCACCAGCTGTTACCTTACCGTCACCATGTCGGTCGGGTCTGCTCTCAGAAATTGCCCTAGTTCCTGGATAAAAAGCTCTAGCCACTGTCAAGTAAAAGCACTTCCGCTGGTGCGGTGTATTTGCGTACACCTAGAGACTACCGTATCTTTGGCCATAGATGTGAATCCGTGCCCTGTGCGAAAATGTGTGTGACATTCATTTTTAGCGCTGGCGCCATCTGGCGCCAGTTGGCGTCACCTTGTCACGACCCTTGTTTTCACCAAATTCGGTGTAAACTTCTGCAGGGGTTATTTGGTGCCCTGATTACGAATATGACATTCGTTTTTGGCATTAGCGTTTTCAGCGCATGTTTCCCGATCTAAACCAGTGGGGGATGCAGACGAGCGGAAAACAGTCGTAATTTGGGGCGCCAAGAATGAGTATCATATTCGTAATCTGGACACCAAAAACCCTCATGCGGAAGTTTACACTAAATTTGGTGAAAACAAGTATCATGACAAGGTGACGCCAGCTGGTGCGCTGACTGACGCTACAGCTGAAAATGATGCCGTTTTTTGTAATCACGATCGAACCCTATGACAAGGTTAGCGGTATTCTCATCAGTCGTAACTGCCAATCTCACTGCAAAGCGGAGCTTGGTTTTTACGTAACAATGGCTGCGGGCCGTACCATACCGAAAACTTAGAGTAATCGCCGGTGCTAGCGAGTTGGGAGGGGCGGGGGGGGAACCACGTGTCCTGACGGGCTCTCAAGCGCAAGGGGACCGGAGCCTAGGAGGAGAGGGTAGGGTAGGGTAGAGAGGAACATTGTGATTTGTGATTTCGCAGAATGCAACTTTGGCACATTTGGACCTTCTTCCAGGCAAGCTCAGCAACTGTTGTCGCGCTTGGCAAATACCACACCGCGCGCGTGCCCCCTCAACTTGTGTAAAACCAGGTACTTACAGAATGTAGGAATTCTGGGGCAACCCATGGTGAAGGCTAATTTTTCAGATGAATCGTGGTTTTGCTTGATGAATCGTCGCGGAATTGCAGACGTCAATGGTGTTCATTGTATCCGTTTTCGTGCATTGATTGGAATAACTGCTGTCACTTACTGGCTGAAAGTATAATACTTTCCAGATAAGGTGCAAGCCCACTGGTGACGCTGCCATAGGTTTTTCAACTGCATATGTTATCAGCTGATAACTCCACTTTATCACACTGGTTTCTCTCATGTCGGCCGAGGTAATTTCTAGGGAAGGTATTCACTGAAAAATGTGTCTGGCAGTTACTCTGCATGCCATTGCGTATCCTGTTTCTCGAAAAGACTCTTAAAGCTTTTGATTCTAGAAATTTTACTGAATTTGAAGCGAAGCGATGATCGCAGAGATTCATCACTGTCCAAACATTGTTAAACTTTTGCCAATACTTCGCTGAAGTGCCCCACAATGGTGGTTTTTATGCTTTTCTGCCGTACATGCATTATCACACATTTGTTACCCCATGTGTGAGATTGCATAATTGATTTCCATATTTGTGCTTTTTTCAATTTTCTCCATTCCTACATGGAAATTTGTTGCGCTATCTATAACGAATGCGCTAGCTGAAAGATTGGCCTCGAGTTTGGTTCTAGGCTCGAAGAAGCCTGTCACAGATGAGCTCCGGGCGATTGAGGAAATATAAGCGTTTTTTTTCTCGTCCTGAGAAGGCAGCCAGAAAACCACGAGCCGTTTTATAATGGGGGTATCTTCTTAATGAACATCGCGAAGGTATGGTAATTCGATGTTTCTATCTGCGCTAAGCGACTACGATAACTTTCACTAAGGAGTGTCGATAAAAACGGCCTTGATACACTCATTCCTCATGTCCTCATTCGCGCGTTTGAATTTTGGAAGTATTATTTAACACGTTCACGACGGACGCCTCTTTTCCACTTTTCTGTCGCGTGGGACGGGCGCGATTTTGTGAGCGCCGCCGCCTCACCTCTTATTCGTGGATTTTGTGCTGTAAATAAACAAAAACATGAATGCCACAAAATAATTTCAGCAGTGTTCCATGCGTAAAGATTGCTAAACATATAATAGTAGGATTTCGATCAAAATTGCGACTAGTGGCAACGAAAAGAGTGCATCTATTCACTTCCCCGTAAAGGAATTTAAAAGCATTTTGACTTTGATTACGAGATTTTACCCACCTATCTGTCCATTCCTAGCGCCTGGCAAGCGATTATCAGCTGGCAGCCCATATGGGCTGCCATCGTCCCAGGAGCACATGTTGTTGGCAGCCCATATGGGCGGCCATACGGCTCTTCTGTGAATGTGGTAAAGCGTTCGGAACGACAAGATCTTGTTATATCTGTTCTTCCGCATTAAGATGCGTCACGGTGAAACGCAAAAAATTTCCATGCAAGATGTTCCATTTCGGAAAGAAGAAACAGCCTTCGAATCGCATTTTGCGGACACTTCATAACAACTGGGGCGGGAGGCAAGGAGGTAGGAGCGAGACAGTGGTTTTTTGAGCGGCCACGATGGATTCGCCGGGCTCGAATCGGGAGGGCAGAAACATAAAGGTTCGCAAGCAAATATGTGCGGCGTCAAATGCTTCGCTGTCGGCAAAAAAAAAAACAGAAAAGGACGCGCTATCCCGCAAAATACCGGAGGGCATGGTGGTGGAAGGCCTTTGCAAAACTGCTTCTCCCTTCAAAAATCGATGAATCCGCGCAAAAAGATTGCCCTTTGAAAAACGAGTCTAAACCTTGTGTGAGGGAGGAGAGACTACGATTTGACGAGGTGTGTGAAGTGGGATTGTCATTCTCCTTGAAGTTTCTGCCTTCCATAGCCTAGTTGTAAAGGATGCCCACGAGCGCCTAAAAAGCTCTCAGCGACAGACCTCAAGAACGGATGGAAGTGTCCCCGCCGTCAACACTTGTAACAATTCTACGGGAAGCGGAACGAGTTCCCCGAATTCTTCCGATTATTTAGCAGAAAAAGTGCAGCTTTTTTCATT